ACAGCATCATGGTGGAGGTGGCCACGGGGCCCTCGGACTCGGCCACCCACGAGAAGGTGGGGCCCCGAATGCACGGCCCTGCCCCTGGACGGTGGGTGGGACTCGCGCTCCAGCGCAGGCTCAGAGGTGCCCGGCTCCCCTGCAGCTGCCCATGGTCCTGAAGGTGCCCAGGCTGAACTCCTCACCACTGGCGCTGTGTGACCGGCCCTTCTCCCTCCTGGGCTTTGGGGACATCTTGGTGCCAGGTATGGCGGCTGGCAGGGCAGGCTGGCCCCGTGGGAGCCCCCGCAGCCAGGCGTGTCTCGGGGAGTGACGGGGTGCAGGCCTGGGTGGGGTTGGGGACCGCAGTGGGCCGGGCTCGGGGCACCTGGGGGCTGCAGCTTTGCACCGCCCGCGGTCCTGGTCTGCTTGCCGTCTGCCACCAGGGCCTCGCTGCCCCAGGTCCCTGTGGTGGGGCCTCCTGGGCCACGCTGTTCTGTGGTCCCCTCAGCTCTGTCTCCGTGCGCCACCGAGAGCCGTGGCACCGCTGTCCGTCCCTGCTGAGCGGTGCCTTCTGCAGTGGCGGTGACAGCCACCCAGCCCGACCGTGACAGCACGCTTCGGCGCTCGCCCCCCACCCCCACCCCGGTGCCAGGCGCTGTGCGGTGGCCCCGGCTGACCCTCGTCCTCGTCCTCCCAGGGCTGCTGGTGGCCTACTGCCACCGCTTCGACATCCAGGTGCAGTCGTCCAGGGTCTACTTCGTGGCCTGCACCATCGGTAGGTAGACGCCTTCTGTCCCCGGCCGCGCCTGGGGGCCGGCAGTGACACCACCCTGTGTGCCCACAGCCTACGGCATCGGCCTCCTGGTGACCTTCGTGGCCCTGGCCCTCATGCGGCGCGGCCAGCCCGCCCTGCTCTACCTGGTGCCCTGCACGCTGGTGACAAGCTGCGCGGTGGCCCTGTGGCGGCGCGAGCTGGGCGCCTTCTGGACGGGCAGCGGCTTTGCGGTGAATACCGGTTTGCTCTGAGTCTGCCGGCGCTAACCCTGGCCTTGCGTTCCAGTGGAGTTCGGCTGCGCGGACGCCGGGCGCGGTCATGCCCTGCACATCAGTGCTCAGCCCGTCGGCATCCGCCTCCACCTGCCAGCAGGACAGAGGAAGCTCCCGCCCGAGGCCTCCTCCGAGTGGCCCTCCTTACCCCGCAGCTGTGAGGCTGCTGGCATGCTCAGACCCGGGCTTTGAACCCTGGTGTGGGCGTGGTCCTGGCCGACCTCTGAGCCGGACCCTCTCCGTTCCCAGGAGCAGGTGTCCATCCCTGCTGCCCCCCAGCAGCCTCTCCATGTAGAGCCAGGTCGATTCTAGAACGTTCTAGGGGCTGAGACCACAGTGTGCTGACCACAGTGTGAGTCTTTAAGGGCTTCCACGACCTCTGGCTCCCACTCCCACTCCGGGAGGCCTGTTTCCCTCGCGGCCCCACGTGCCTGGCCAGCGCCCTCCTGGTGGTGCAGGCGCTGCCTCTGGGACGCAGTCCCTGGGACCATAGTCCGGGCACCGCTGCAGTGCCGCAGTGCCCCCGTGTGACGGCGGCCTGTCCTTGCAGAAAGACCTACCTCAGCCTCCGTGGGCCACTCCCGCCGGCGACCCGCAGCCTCCGCAGCCGCCGCCGAAGGAAGCAGGCACGCCCCCGGCCCAGCGGGGCGCCAGTGAGGAGCTGGCCAGGCCCCCCAGCCCGGCAGAGCAGCCTGGGGAGCCCTCTGTGCCCAAGGGAGCGAGGCCTGGGGCTTCTGCTCCAGAGCCAGGGAGCCCCGCCGCCAGCACCCCTGAACCCGAACCAGCAGGCCGGGACCAGGCCTCGCCAGACGCCTCGGCCTAGGGGACAGTGAGGGGACCCTGGACGCTCGCAGCTGCGCGCACCACCTGGAGATGCGGGGCCGGCGCCTGCATGAGGGGGACAGTCGCCAGACATCGCCCGGTGGGGACACCACGCGGGCCGGGCCCTCCCCAACATGGTGCT